GCAGTGGCTGCAGTGACACAGCCCTGGATCTGAGTTAAAGGGACACTGTCAGGTGGAACCCGAGCAGTGGCTGCAGGGACACAGCCCTGGATCTGAGTTAACTGAAGCTGGAAGGTAAGACAGAGTCAGCACACGGGACACACAGCTCCCGACCACCGTATCAGAGTTTGGGTAACGAGTGAGCTGGGATCATAGCGGGGTCCTTATCAGACATCAAGGCCCTGGAATTATAGTGGGGTCCTTATCAGACATCAAGGCCGTCTCTCTAATGTTACGACTGAGGACAGTGAGCCCCTGAGTGGGTCTGAGCCTGCAGCCAGAACCAGAAACTCCATTGGCTGCTCCTTCCACATCAAATGGTTCCAGCTCTGTGTGAGTTTGTCGCCGGCCAGCCCCTGGGACCGGTGGCATGAGGCTCTCCGAAGAAATGAGTTCAGTCAAACAGAAAAGTGATTTCATCAGCTAGGGGCACTCCTAGGACGGTAAGGGCCGCCCCGATTCTGATTAGAGCAGGTTCCTGAGGTGAGGCTGCAGGTGCTGGGCGCTCTGACTGAGGCTCGCTCCTCTGCAGCAGCCTCGCCCCGCAGTTTTACCTTTCGCTATGAGGAGAGTCTCGGTAGGAGTCGGGGGTTTCTCTGGCATGCCTGAGGAAGCTGTTACATTCACGGGGACCTCCCATGCCATTAAGACGTCCTCTTGGGCCCCCCGCCGGGCTGCTGTGCCGACTGTTTTCTGCCGATGACATCACGATCACCGAGTGGCTTTCCGACAGGATGCTCTCTGTGTGCCCATTGCTCCAGCTATGGAAGAAACGTGAGAGGCAGTGATGTATTAAATAAAACAACCTGGATGGAAATGGAGACCATTCTTCTAAGTGGAACATCACAGGAATGCAGAAACAAACACAGGCACTGAGTGCCAGGTGGGATCAGCCAACACCTACGTGCACGTAGGAAGTCAGTCTCAACGAAAACCAAGCTTGGAAAGGGGGGAAGGAGGGAAGAGTAAATGCACACCTATCAGGAACAGTGCACACCGGGAAGGGGGTATACAACTAAGTATGCGAACAAAACACAGGTACCTCCTAATATCCCGAAATTAAAAAAAAAAGTTATATGTAAAAATATAAATAACAAGAAGCAATTCTGACAAATATTTCAAAGGATTGCGGCATCCATAGCTCCCTCCAACACGACCTGTCTCAGAATAGAATAGTTACAAAGATATTTGCTATAGAAAAAGTGTTTTGGTTCAGATTGGCTTTGTAAGGAGACAGTTTATCCATTTGTTTACTCAATAGATAGATATTTATCAAACGCCACTCTGTCCTAACTAGTCTTGCAGTCTCTCTGATCTAGAGTGGCTCAGGTTAAAGAAACACTTTGTAGTGAGAGGTAAATTAATCAGAAGTCTCATGTTCATCTTGGTAGAGTCCACTCAGATCACTGGGACACTTGGAACATTTGAACTGGTTCAGCCATTTAACCAATTCTTAGGGGCACTTCCCAGGGCTATCCAAATATTGCAAGAAGTCAGCTTCTAAGTATTCTGAAGAAAAAGAACCAAAAGACAGACTTTCCCCAGTGTAGCAAGATAATCTCAGAGAGGGGAACACTGATCTGATGGGGGTATCATTCTGTCTTCTTCGGTAAAAGGAAAATTGAGGCTTAAATTTATACGGCATGTAAGGGCAGAACCAGTCAAGGTTGAAAGTGTCAATTTCAAAAACGACACATTTCAGAGTCACATTCAGTCTTTCCAGTTCCTTTCTCAAGAGGCAATAACAAAAGGCAACGTGCAAAACTTCATTCTTAGAGAAATGGCGGGAAGGATCTTCATTCCCATACCTGTGACTAGGAGTCTGGGTGACAGTCGTGGAGTGATGGGCTGTCGACGTGTAATGGCTGGTGGAGAATGACGTCTCAGCTTCTCTCTCAACAATTTGCTCACTAGAGATGACGTTTTTAGAGACGTATTGCTAGATAAACGAAGAGATAGAACTTGAAGATTCAAGTAGATCAAAATATTAATGTTGTTATACACAAATAAATCTATTCTTACATATATACATGCTTTGTAATGAATTCCATTTCTCCAGTAACTGGATGGTCCTGGGTGCCCTGGCTTTTAGAGTGGATGGATAGAGCTACTAAAATACTCTCCAGATGTACGTGCAAGGTAGGTCCTACCATCCCAAATATATTTTATTAGCAAAGACCTATTTCTTCCATTTCATTTCCAATTGATAACATGACGAGAATTCAATACAAATACATGTTCAGCATTCATTTCTGTTAAGAATATAACAAAATATAGCTATACCAGAATATAGCTATTGCAAGTTGAAGAAGACTAACAAATGTTTGAATGGAACAAAAGCACAGAGGTGGTCTGTCTTATTTCAAATTTTAAGTCATTAGAACTTTTTTTAAAAACTTCTATATTTTGAATCTTTCTTTCTCAATTTCCTAGTACCCATTTGCCCTATTGATATCACTGAAACTTGTTATCAGTAGCTGTTTAGAAAGTTGAGGGTTATAGTAGAGGTCAAGGTCAAATATCATGAAAAATCCCATGAAACAAATCATATCTTATACAATGCATATATAAAGGGCCTTATACCCGCATTTAGTGCAGGTAGATTCTTTATTTACATCAGCAAATTGTAGAAGCTATTACTGCTTTCTATTACTGAAAGAGGCCTATTTTGATGTTGTGTTGTGTTGTATTTTATTTTATTTTATTTTATTTTATTTTTTTGAGACAGAGCCTCAAGCTGTCCCCCTGGGTAGAGTGCCATAGCATCACAGCTCACAGCAACCTCCAACTCCTGGGCTTAAGCAAGTCTCCTGCCTTAGCCTCCCAAGTACCTGGGACCATAGGCACCCGCCACAATGCCTGGCTATTTTTTGGTTGCAGCCATCATTTTTATTTGGTGGGCCGGAGCTGGATTCAAACCTGCCACCTTAGGTGTATGTGGCTGGCACCTTAGTCACTTGAGCCACAGGTGCCAAGCCTGATGTTGTGTTTTAAATGCTGTTAATATCAATGCCAAACTGAGTTAAATAATGGGAAGGAATACTCTTTACTGAAGGGTACTTTATAGTCTGATGGTCTGTGGCCTCTAATGAGCCTGATATATTCACGGAAACCCCCAAATATACAACTTGTCATTCTCTTGATAGAAAGGCCATTCCACCTGGGTCTTCTTGGGAAGTACAACTAGCTGGATTTAATGAAAAGATACATAGTGATCTACATCTATACTGGGCATCAAGTCACTCTTTCTCTTGGGAGGCAGCGTGAGCTCAGGAAATCTAATGAAAATAAGGTTTAACAATCATCAAACATTCAGTAAATGCCACCTGGCTGTTTTACGCAGATTATCTTATGTAACGCCCTTCCAACGAGTCTTGGAAGTATTGTTTTTATGCTTGTTTTCATAATGAAGAAATAAGGTTGAGGAAGATCAAAACCGAACGTCACACAACTTGAACCACAGGGTAATCCAGGCAGCCACTCTGCCTTGTATACATTACGTAACGTATTATAACACAGAGACAGGTCACAGTTCTATTTGCTGTGCCTGTATTTATCAGCTGCACAGTCGGAGGACACTGTTGAAGGAAGAAAGCAACCAAGATGGTACCCGGTAGCTCCAACAGTCTCCTGAAGGTCTGTGCTATAAGACCTGCTGGTGGTTTAGTGACTGCCACCTCTGGGCTTGAATCTACTCAAAATATACTTCCTTTTTTATAGGCTAGAAAATGGTACTGCAATATAATCTTTGAGCTTTGTTTATTTGACAAAAGCCATACAGCAGAGGAAAATGAAGAAAACTAGGATTATGCTAGAATCAAAAAAGCAGGACTCTAAAAGCCAGAGGAGCTCAGTCCTGCTCTGGCTCTGATCTATTAAAAGTAAAGGGAGAGAGAGAAGTTTGGAAGATACCTTAAAACGCTCCAGAATCTAATATTCTTTGATCTAGCTATATTTAAAAACTGAGGGCTTGGTAAAGTGTAAGTATAGTATCTGAACGATTACAGATATAGCTCATCTGGAGGCCGTGCAGACATGCTCAAGAGCCAGGCAATGTTCTTCCGGTTTTGCTACTGAGAAGCATACTTGATAAGCCACCGGACCTTTTCATAACCTTATTTCTTCCTTTGGAGATCAGAAACTGTGAATCAGCAGGTGCTGTGCGTGCCCCTAATAAAAATAACTGCAGAGCCCTCTGCTTGGTTATCCATACTAACCAATCAGAGACCAGAGTAGCCTTTGTTTCCAAATGATTTTTAAAAAGCATTTCTTTTTGATTCCTGTACTCTTAATTTCATCATGAATACCGAAGGCCACAAACTCAACATGATGATTCCAACCCCACTGACCAACACTTTCTAAGAGGAAATGGGCTTGTTTTACAGTCACCAAATCCACTTTCAAAAATGTCCCCCTTATTTTCTCCTGGCAAAAACTTGGATTCCTGGAAGCCATGGTGATTAATGGCAGCAGCTAAAAGCCTAAGAGCTTTAGAAAATAAACTTCAAGGAGCCCAAACCAGGAGAGTTGCCCCGTTTTCTCCACCGGCCAGAATCAACATACATTCACCAGCTGAACGTTCTCGGGAGGGGGGTTGGGGTGGTGGGGCCCGTTGGCTATGTTCACCATGTTGTTCCGCTCGGACCGAAGACTCTGCCGAAGCCGGTCGTGAAGCTTTTTCCGTTGTTTCCTGGATATAAAAAGGGAATGCTTATTTTTTCTGTTGTTTACATTTCTGGGTACAGCCAAACCTCTAGGCTAGTGACACCTATGGGCACCTCAAGGCTGCCGGGTGATAAGGAAGGAAGAATGGGGTGTGTTCATTCCACCTCAGAATAAGTGAGATCACACCTCCACAGAAAATAGATTAAAAGGCTGAATGGGATCCTAACAGAAATTTAATTGTTTGGCTCAGACAAGAAAGAAAAAAGGATGAGAAAATGAGTAAGTTGATATTTGGCTAAAATCTCAACTTGCCTAGTCAATCTACCATGGCCTAAGTCTTAAAGATTTGTTTTAGAGGAGAATTTGTTTTATAGAACTGAGAAAGCTGATTCCCTTTATAGTTGTTCTCATGGGTTTCAAGAAAATGAACTGAGATTTGAATCTATATATTATACACAGTTGGTGTGTGTGCATATATCACATCTACTTGAGTGAGAATATAGACATATTTTGCCAGGAGATTATGTCACAACGGTAACTTGATCCTACTCTTGTAATGGTTTTTTCTTCTTCTTCTTTTTTTTTTTTAAGACAGAGTTTCACTATGTCATCCTCTGTAGAGTGCTTTGGCATCACAGCTCACAGCAACCTCAAACTCTTAGACTTAAGCGATTCTCTTGCCTCAGCCTCCAAAGTAGCTGGGACTATGGGCACCATGACAATGCCTGGCTATTTTTTTGTTGTGCTTGTCATTGTTGTTTAGCTGGCCCGGACCCGGTTTGAACCTGCCAACCTCAGCGTATGTGGCTGGCCCTGTAACCATTGTGCTATGGGTGCAAAAACCTGTAATGGTTTTTATATCATTAGGTAATGAATATCGAAGGACTCATGGGTTGATTCCATGAAGGCTATCTCTACCACTTACTCAATTCTGACAACACACTAAATCATGGCAGACCAAGAGAACACAACTGGGGCCCTTGATTTTGTGGTCTAAAAGTGTATTATTTTTCATCCTCAGTGCAACATTCAGATTCCAATAACATTCCCAAGAATGTTTTGGCAATACAACTTTATGAAGTAAAAATTTTTAAAAACCCTATTAATTTAGCTTTATTTCAGACATGAAGTGGAAGTGATATGTTCAAGAGGAAAGTGAAAGGTCTTCACGTCCCACAGTAATTGGACCTGTTAATGTGGACCAAGCTTAGGGGCCAAACACAGTGGACACAAACTTAGTGTAATGTTTTCCCTTTTATTCTTTCAAAGCAAGTTTTGTTCAATTTTTCTTCCCCTGAGATTCCTTTTGTACAGCTCACATTTTGAGAGCATTTATACTACGAACCTAATTAGATAGTAACAGAATTGAAAAATAATCACTATAAAAAGTACTGTAAGAAAGGGAAGCAAGTATCCGATGTACTCAAGGCTAATATGAAACCAGTAAATGAACAAATGCACGCTCACACAACAGAGAAACACGATTAAACTCAAGTGGGGGGGAGGGAGATTGGTGTATCAAAAAATCAAATCAAATCAAAAGTTGGTGAACAAAAGAATAAAGAATGGAATCAAATTTATGTGCGGATGTCAAAAAAAAATCACTATAACTTTCATAAAACTGCATTTCAAACATCACAAAGTGTGTCCTTTCTCTTCGAAGTTTTAGTGTGAATTGGACTCATCCTCAGCAGTGATGTCACACGGACCTTCGGCACCTGCGCTCGCCTCTTAGTACACGGTGCTCACGTGCACACACGCGGGCACTTGTGGGCTTTGTCTAAGGCTGCCTCACTGGCCTTTCTCCACTCATGGGGCTGTGGTCACTTACCAGAAATCTAAGCCCTCTCACACACATAGGCAAAGCTTTCTAATGTGTCTGATTAGGAGAGGTCCTCAAAAAACATTATGCAGGGGGAAAATTCTCTCCCACCTCCCCTAAGTCCCTGATCCTCCCCATCCAAGATTCTACAAAGCCATGACGACTGTCTCTGCACTAAGAAGAGAGAAGGCGGGCGGAAGGAAGGTTTACTTGGTTTTGCAGTAGGCCACCACACACATGATGCCGACCACGAGGAGGGCGATACAGATGCCAGTTATGGTCAGCACTCTCTTCTGGTAGAGCTCCTCCGCTTCTGGAAAGGGAGGGAAAGCAGGTGTCAGCACAGGTCACTTCCTCGCCAGGGCTTACTACAACTGAACAGTCAGCATGCTGCATGACACTGTCCATGTTCACGAGAAAAATTAACACAGGACGATCCTTTACGTTTACAGACAGAGCTAAGATACAACATGCTCTACACTACGCTTTGAACGTAAATAACAGAGCCAGCTGGGGCCATTTACAATAAAGATACTACACTCTAATGAATCTAATTATAAGCTACAGATACAGGTATATAAGTGATATTAAATTGGGAGATTATGAACATTAATTACAAAATAACTATTTGGTTAAAATTCTATAGTTTTTATCTCTATAGTTTTATACTTTAAAGAGTATCTTTCAAAAAAATTAAAAATCTCTTGTAAAGACAACAGGAATCAACGTCAATAAATGGAGCTGGAATTGGCGTCACTGGGAACCCCCCTTTCCTCTCTCCTCCCTTCTCTGTCCACTGCCCCCCATCTCCTTGTGTTTCCCAGTGATCTTATATCATCACTTTATATCCAGTGGTCTTTACAAAGAGTCATTTCTAACTTAAAAATATATTACATTCAAAGACATTTGCAAACGTGAACTTGGCTTGTAGTTCACAAATAATTTGAGTCATGCTTTCTATGATTTAACCATAAAATATGAACATAAAAAGAAAAATAATACAAAGTGGCAGGGCACTGTATCAAAGAAAATCCAGAATGATGGGTGGGGTAGTGGTGGGCCCAAATGAAGACTGGTCCCCTGGAAGACAATTCTAATGACTTCACCCATTGTCCTTAGAGAACACATTTATTTGTATAAAGAAGTCACTAGCACAAAAGGTATGTGTGATTTGGAAGGGACTGCACATTCTGCTTCAGCCAACTTGGCAAATTCACCAGGGTAGGTCATGCTAAGGAAATGTGACTCTTAGAACTTTGAACTAAAGGACCAGCTGGACCCCAAATGCAATCATTCTCTAATTCATGGAAGTTCTTCTCTTTGCAAATTAGTTTCTCTAGGTTACAACTTGATTTTATTAAGGCAGGTCCTCAAAAGATTTGCTGATTTAATGGAGACCCTGAGCTTTTGACCAGTCTAATGGCGTTTACTGGAAGATCTTCACAAGTTCACCAGAGAGTGAACTGAACCAGCACGTAATAAATAATGCAAACTGTTGACTCTGCATTATGATTAACGAGCTTAATAAGCTGGTGAAGAACTGGGAAATATTGTACGAATGGAGCTCTCTTATCTGGACCTTGACGTGTGACCCTCAAAGAATATTTCTCTTTTCCATCTGCAATCTCAGCAACTTCACCTTCTTCTGGCTTTTGAGAGAGGGCAAGGTGCAGGCCTTTTTTTGAAATGAAAAAGCCAATTTTGATTTCTGTGATACAGTGGACCTTATCACGAAACAAAACATTTCCTACAAGCCAAGCCCACAATCATCCAACTCCAGTTAACGGGTCAAGAACATGGTCAAATCAAATTAATATAGCACTGATTATTAACAGGAGAAGGAGGAGAACAGAAGTCAGTGGGTATAAGATGGAGAATGCTGCAGAGATTACACAAAAACAAATCAGAAGGGGTGGAGGCAGAGAGGGAAAACAAACTGGGGGGACGGACGGACCAACAGAATGACAGAGAAAGCAAGGAATTCGAGTACACGGGAAATCAAGGTTAAAGGTTAAGGAGCCATCTGAAGTCCCTGGCACAGCATGCCCGATACTAAGGGAGGAAAAATAAAGAAAGAAAAGAAAACCAGAGGGAGGGGATGCTCAGATGGGAAGAGAAGGTGGGTGCAAAACTGGAAGGGTCATTCCATACAGCATAACTCCTGCCCTAGGCTAGCAGTCATCTGGAAGCCGCAATTAGGAAGCAAAGCGGCCGGTGCGTTGAGTGCCAGACAATGTATCAGCACACACAGAGCTGGTGGCGTGGATTTTATTTTTTTTGGTGCAGCAAAAGTCAAATGTGAGCATGGCGTGTGAGCACTTATGTGTTAATCGCTGTGTCTGTTGTTTTTCTCCCCACCCAGTCCCAGCCACAGAACAGGGGATTTGCTAGGAGGTGTTATCTGTTAGCTGATGCCCCTGGAGCCTCCCTTCTTGACCTTCTGATCGGGTTTTCATTTTAGTGTATCCAAATGATAGGATATCTAATCAACCAGACCAATTGAGTATATCTAAATATCTACACTTCTTATTTAGTGTAAGAAGAGCTAGCATCCCACTGGTCCCCCTCTCTGGGACTCAGGACACAGAGCAGAGTTCCTTGGGCTGTGAGCTGGGATGAGCTGGGGAGGAAACAGGAGTGTAGAGATTGTCCCCAAGAAAAGGAAGGCCTGCCTGACGCTGCCCTCTGTCCTCCGCTCTGTTTTCCTCTTTAAAATGGTAAGGCGATGATTACACTTTTTCATTGACATCTTATTGTCCTATCTCTACAAAAAGCTGGGAAACTCTTCTGCCAACTTCAAAAATGGGGGCACAGACAAGGGCTAAAGAGGAAAAAAAAAGGCGTCACGTGCATTCTCAGGGGTTCTTTGGACACGTCTCCTTTTGGCTGTTGTTAATTACGAAAGAATAGGTCGAGTGGGGTTTGCAAACAAACGGTGCGTGATGACTGGCCCATTCTTCCCACGTTATGTGGGGAGACACACGTTTTCCAGCAAAATGATTATTTTATGGAAATAAAAAGGCAGCTCGAGAAAGGGCAAAGGGTAATGTAAAAATGAGCCAATTTAAGCCAAGGCCCATAGAATACAGATGTGAGATTAAAATTCTATATTCTCATCAGCATTTACTAAATGCACTACAACTCTGGTCCAAATTTCTGTTTGACTTTTTCATGGTTTTGGTCGATCAGGTGACCCAACACTATGAATGCATTCAAGGAAAAATACTCAGTGACCAATAATGGCAACAATGGATTCTTTTTTCTCTTATTATTTTTTCGCATGTATCAGGTCAACTGGGCAAGAGCAAATTAGAGGCAGATAGAGTAGCGAACAAAGAGTCAGACCATCCAACTGGTAAGTTTATCTCAATAGGCAGAAATGTTTCTGAGTCTTTAGGGTTTGGCTGGACTACAGTGCGTCCGGATCAGGCACGTTTTTCAGTCTGATCAGGCCTGGCCAGGAGACAAGAGCCCTGGCTTATCTTTCACAGTTTCAAGTGACCTGTAGGGTCTGATTTTCTTTAACGATGCAAGGTGGAGGTTTAGTACACGGGCTGGCCCAGAACTGTGGACCTCTGGGAAGTGGGCAGATCCCGGCACTGTGTCTTTACCAAGCTGTGAAATCTCTTATTCAGGGAGATGTTCTGTGTCTGCACTCTCCTGTCTTTCATTGCTTGGGAATCAAAAACAGTCAATTCCATCGTTAGACCATAAAGTGATAAAACGAGAAATAGACTGTTATGGCTAAAGGGAATTTATCCATATGGTGGATTCTTTCCCTCACTGCAGGGAAGGCCAAGAAGCCTTGTTAGAAGTGGGGCAATTTTTGTTTCGAGGGAAGAAACCCCAAAAGATAACTCCACTCACCCAGACTCCAGTGATACTGGAGTTTTCTCTCGTGTTCCTTACTCTTGGGAGAACTTCTCCAGTGCACAAAGGCCCATTCATATAAATGTGGAGGTTTGCTCATCAAATTAATTGTTTTTCTCCTAGAATTTTTAGGGGGGGGGGGATGGGCAATTAATTGTGCTTTTATCCTCATGGTTGCTGGAGCTTGCAACTGCCTCATTTTCCACAAATTATGGAGACTACATTCAGTGCAGACTGTGATGTTATCCTCCAAAGAAAGAAGTGTCTGCAGGATGACCCCTCCGCATGATGTCACCCAAACCAGCTGGATGGGGATCAGATATGCTGGTAATCAGGACACTGCATTGTTGACCCAAGGCCATGTCCATCCCACGGCTGCACACAGCGTTTAGAAAGACTGGCTGGTTTGGCCCGGGCGGTCCTGGGAGGGTGGCACTGCTTCCCTCTCCTCCCGAGACTGGCTTTTTCTCCCAAATATTTAGGATGAAGGCCTTTGGAGGCAGGATGCCTAAATTTCTTATGCTCATAGGGGATTTTTCTCTTTATGTTTGCTGGGTGAAATTTTCTATTTGATTACTTGTCTGGATAATCTTAGTGACTCAAATTTAATTCCATTACCCCTGGAATTTCCACCTACAATAGCACAGGGCTTCTTTCTTTCTATTGTTTCCTTGCTCATAAGATAACGAAGTTGACCAGCGATGCTTGAATATCTCCAGAAAATCTGGGTAGTGAGATTGCATGTCTATTAAGTCCTCTATATTTTAGGTGAATTTTACATTGTGTGTTCAACTTCCATCTGTCTTAGAGGTGGTGTGTTTTTTAAGTAAGTACATTTAAACTTCTTTTGCTCTCAGGTTTGATATCTCTCATCGCCTTACGCCCCACTTATCCCAGCGTTTATAAACTGGCAGAGCCAGATCCAATCAGGGGATTAAACAAGGAGGCATGTGTGTGAATCTGTAGCGGGTGAGGTGATTTGAAACTCTAAGTGAAAGGAGCTTGGGAATTTAAGAGCTGCTGCGTTCAGTACCATCTCAGTAAACTAATCATACATTGAAAGCAGAGAAATCATTGTTATAGCTGTATGATCCCTTCTAAAGACAAAGGAATTAGTTAGGAACTGAAAGGTAAGAGCAGGAAAGGGAGAAAGATTTCAGCTCAGAGGCTCTAAATTCTGCAGGCTAAAAGGAACGATGATTGGTCCATACCCATAAATTCAATCCCAAGATGCTCTGCCAATGCAGAAAGTTGACAAAAAAAGAGAAAGGGAAAAAGTTTCAGAAAAGAGCAATACACTGCACTCCAAAACACATTAAACATGACAACTACGGCTCTCTGCGTGCACACTGACCAGGGGAGCAGGGCGGGTAAGGAAGCAGTGCTCAGGTACGCCCCCTGGAGCCCACACGGGGAACTCCTCTTGGTAAGGGGTGTGCAAATACTGCACACTGTGTCTCGATTAACCCTTAAAAGACCTTACTGAGGGAGAAGTGAAGCAGTTTACAGAGCCTTGCCCTACTTCCTTGTTGGGGAATGAAAAAATTATTTTTCTAATCAGAAAAAAAAAAATCATTTGAAATTATTTCATTACTTTTTTTTTTTAAAAAAAGGCAGAAACAAAGTTCCAAGGAGATAATTTTTTCTTTCTTTTTTTTTTTTTCTTTTTTCCTTTATCCAAAGCCGTACAGGGGCAGAGCCAGGAGCAGAAGCCAAGAGGGTGTTACTTGGTCTGAAAACGCCATCATGCTGAATTTACATTTTCCCGTTAGTGGGTAGTGACGCTTTCGGGTTCCTTTTCCTTTGGTGATGTGTTTTGTAGCTGCGTTTCATTTTCTCCTCTGAATCTCCCACTTTCTTCATCATTTACGAGTTTCATTCACAGAAAGAAACGAACGCTTCTGCCCAAAAACACCCAGATGAAGATTTGGGACAGTGGAGACTCTTTTGAGTTGTTATTATTATTTTTTTTTAACATATAATTTCTGTGTAGCATAGGACAATTCTATGCCTTACTTTAGCAAACAGAAAAAAAAAATTAAGCAAGGGAGAGACAGTTCCTGAGGTTTTTAGTTAATTTCGACTTATTCCTCCTTCAGCTAACAAAGAACCAATGAGATCATCTCTCCATAGCACTGAGCTCCGACTGGCATGGGCGTTAAGAAAATCTGCAGGGCTGCCCAGGGTAGGGGACTCAAAGGCGTGACCATCAGCCAGCAGCCCTGGCAGCTCCGGTCCCACAGATCCCAGGATTGCAAGACTAGCAGAATCTGCACAGGTCCGAATGAAGAAGTGAGGAAAACGAGGCAAAGAAAAATAAATCTTTTCATTCTCAAAATAAAAATGGACAATCAAATTTCACCCTGCAGAAGCCCTTAGGACTTGCCTTCATTGTATGTGTGGGGGGTGGAGGCAGGCGGGAAGGGGAAATAGAATATACACGGAGTCCTCTATAATCCCCCTTGATCGCAGATTTGACAGACACTAGGGCAATCTGATAATATTGCAAAGCATCTCTTAAGCTTGAAAAAAGGCAGTGAAGAGGGTGTTTCTCTTAGAAAATCATCATTTGGGGCATGGAGAAAGTGCCTCATATAGAGAGGGGGAAAGCAGGTGGTAAGTGTGCTGGGATCATCTTGGTTTGAGGTCCTGCCTCTGCCGCTGACCTGTTTAGTGACTTTGGGACAAGTTAATTTGTCATGAACAAAATGCTTATGGTACAAACCCACACCTCTCTGGGTGTTTCTGGGGAAGAAAGAAGACTTCAAATATGCCAGCTAACAGCAGAGGGGTAAGAGACACCCTCTTACCCCTCTGGAGGGCTTATCTGGAGATGAGCCTTGGCCCCTTCCTGCGTTTACGTTTACTTTTGACTAATCACGTGGCCAGGAAGACAGCCCTTAGGATGCTTTAACACTTACTGTGGCCCTTTAAGGAAAGGAAGTTTCCTAAATTAAAACAGAAAAGTACGTATCGAATAGTACACTGACCAGCAAGGGTAACGGGAGGCACTATATATACAGCAGAGAGGTGCCTTTGCCTTGGGTCCAGTGGACTCAGGCAAATAAGCTAAAATTTTCTTAAATTAAAAGTGAGGGGCTTAGGGTTAATTTGGTTGCACTAAGTTCACAGCAGAATAATTTATTCACACCCAAGCAAATTTCTCTTGCTGTCGTGCAATGCTCAATTTGTCCAATTGACATATTTTTTCCCCCATTTGTTTTCTTCTTATACATTTTGGAACATCAGAGTGCAAAGATTTCATTTCCCAAGGAAGTTGGTAATAAATTTCCTTACTCATTTCCATGATGTGACCCAGTTTTTCTTCCTAGAACCCCCCTCCTTCTTTGCCTTTTCCTCCTACCAGTCAGTAATGATTTAAGGGTTAAAATCAAGCGATATCTACAAAGCTCTTTCCAGAGAATCCTTATTCCACGCCTACCTGAACACCGCTAATGATCTACATTAGTTGCGTAGAAAGCTTGGTTAAGTCTTCAATAAAATTAGTAGCATGCCCATGCATACATATTACGGCATTTACAGTTTTAGAGGTAAGTCTGTGAGCCTAACTCTAATTTCATTTCACGGGAAGTCATTCATATCAGGCAGCTCCAATTTCAAATAATTCAATGGGAAATTGGTACTTAAAACTGGAATTTCTTCTGGCCATCGCCCTAACGAGGAACCAGGCAGAGGATGCACGCATCAGTCATTCTAGACCTAGAGCAAACCTCGCTCTAATTTATTTCCACTACTGATCGCTACATGTTTTTCATGGTGAGTCAAAAAAGCAGAATGCACACTTTTCATTTTTTAAAGAGGTTATTCCTTTCTGTCTGTTCTGTTTAATCTAATGTTAGTTTAGGCTCATTACGAATCTCATGCTTCCTATTGAACTTCTGCCTAGCCACTGCATTTGTCAAATTAAATTAATAATTCAAAAACACAAAGGTTACTGTAAACAGTTTAGTTTCCTTTCCTCCATGTGATTTCCTGCTGTGCTCTAAGCAATATAAAAAATTAATTTAAATCTAAAAGTCTTCAGAAACTATGAAGTATTGACTCACTAATCCTTTGCCTTAGAATTTTATAATTGCTTGAAGAAAACTGATTAACCCGCAGGTTAATTTAAATTTTCTATTGCATTAGAGGAAAGAACAATAAGGCAACTTTCTGCTACCAAAATTACACATCCGTGCAATTATGCTTTCTGTTAAATTTGAGGACATTCAGGATTTTACTCTTTTAACCTCTGGGGCCTACTTATGCAAATATTCTTGAAGACTTAGTGCATAAGTCTGGACTTTTTTACACTTCTGAGATTTCTAAAGGAGTTCTGTCAATGCCAATTCGAAATGGGTCAAATTTGGTGTCTGACTTCTAATTTTAGACTTACCTTTATAAAATGTAGATACTTTTTTTTGTATCCATATATACCAATCCGGACTGCCACTGAGCCCTTGGAAATGGAAGGACTTTTCTCCTTACCCCCAAGTTCCATGCACACATGGGCACATTCACCAACACACACATACACACACACACACGCGCGTAGGAAAATGTCACTAATTGTTGATACTCATGACAATTGTCACAGGTGAAGTGTTCCTTTATTCTACTGTTAGCAAGATACACACTTTTGACAACTGAATTTCAACAGGTTTAAAAAACGACTAGAAATCCATGCAAATAATTGATGCAGTGGTAACCTGTGACTTTAGAATACTTTTAAGGATATCTGCTAAGTGCTCATTTTAAGAATGGGCCTAAGCGTTCTAAAATTGGACTCTTTTAACACATTCTGTGATTAGGTCTTATTATATGTTCCTTATACCTGACACGTTTATTCCATGCTGACTCTAATTGTCAATGCTTTTTCTTTTTTCATCTTAAAGGACTGTAAATGCATTGATTATGGCCTACCTGTGTACACGCACACACTCAGACACACACACACATCCCTCATCACAGGCTGGTGAACACAGTCCTTCCAACCAGGAATTCTGTGTCGAGGTAGGTCAGACTTGAAGCTGACTAACCTTGACAGTATTTTCCTAGAAAGCACTATAAATAACGTTTTATTTCAAGGCAAATGGCTGCCTTATAAAATATATATTTACTCCCTTCTTTCATATTTTAAATCAGTTTTTATAAGTCAATCAATGCCCCATAGGACATTTTGACTAGAGCCACTGTATCAAACTCTAATAATGTAAAGTTATGTGTTAGTATTTTTAAAAAGTGTCTATTCTTAAGGAATGTTATTCTTCAGCGGACCATGTTGTTTGGCAACTTTTAAACATTTCTCTTTGAAGCTGGGGACTATGTTCTCCCAGTTCGTATTTAAAATTTATGCTTTCCAGACTTTATAACTACAAAAACAACTAGATTTAAACATGGCCACTGTGCTGGCATCTTTCTAACCTTCCCCCAGCCTGTGTTGCTACTTGAACATAGAGTTCGTAGAGCAGGACAAATTTATCTCCCTGCCCTCTAGGTAGGGGTTTGGAGAGATAAAAAATGAGAATTTAAGACACAGAGGTCAGCAAATTAACTCTGAATACGGCAATTCTGGAGAGCAATTTCTGACTGGAAGCTCCTGCTTTTCCAGACACAGGCTTGTGGACCCACAGTCATTAAATGTATTGTTTAGAAATGTTCCTAGCAATGTTTGTTATATCAGGTTAAATATGAATGCTGCTTTTCTGGATGTCTTCCCAAAGCTTACTAAACATCGAAAGCTTACTAAAGAATGTATTTAAGGAATCACACCCTGAACTTCACAGATACATACTTTTAAGTGGTATCTTCTGAAAGAGGAAACAGTCTACAAGGGAAGATGAAAGCATTTTTTTTCTGGTTACTACTGGTTACTATTGTCAAATCTGTGTAATTATTATGGGATATGGAATCTTTTTTTTTTTTTTAGACACAGAGTCTTACTTTGTCGCCCTTGGTAGAGTGCTGTGGTGTCACAACTCACAGCAACCTCCACCTCTAGGGCTTAGGTGATTCTCTTGCCTCAGCCTCTCTGGTAGTGCTGGGGCCGGGTTTGAACCCGCCACCCTCGGTATATGGGGCTGGTGCTCTACCCACTTAGCCACAGGTGCCCCCCTATATAACTTCATTTTTAATGAGTTTCTCTCTATGGGGCCCAAGCATTGCCTTCAAAGCACAAACTCCATATAACAACACAAAGTGTAGCATAACTTAAGTGTTCAGAATTTTCATTAAAATCTGAAACACGGTTTATTATATTTATAGAGCCTCATGGACTTGTTTCATCTATGTTGTTTAAATACAAACACACATTTCTAAAAAGGCGTGGGTTTCATGTATTAAACAAAATTCTATTTTCTCTTCTATTTTTACTTTCCATCTACCTTTCAAAATTACTTTAAAAATTCAATTATCAATTATAGCTACGGATAGAAAAAAATTCTGTGCACTGAATACATATGATTTAAAGACTTGTAAATAAAGTGAGGATTGTGCTTAGACATTTTGCAATGTCAATTTACTAAATTTTTGCAAAAGAAAATAGCCTGTGACAAAATCTCTGATATGTAAATAAATGATTGGACATGATAGACCTAATCTCCCCCAATGCACTATAAAAAGTCTTCTGAAAATTTCTATGATGATAACATGAGTTATAGAACTTTATTTTTTGCATGTATTAGAGTCAGGGTCAATAGGATTCTTTTAGGGTTTCTATAAATAGCCAGCTTTCATCACTGTTTCTTATGCCATATCAATTTAAACGGCACTAAGCTATGTGACATACTTTTCCAAGTGAGCAACTGACAATCTCAATCAGCGGTTGACAAATCTAGTCCATCGTCTGGTTTTGTAAATAAAGATTTAATGGAGCGCAGCCGTGAGCATCAGTACTGTCCATGGCTGCCTTCCTGGTCCAATGGGCAGGTGGGGTAGTTGTGATGTTGACAGTATCACACCACAAACCTTGAAGTATTTACTGCCCACACCTTTACAGAAAAGACTTGCCAGCATTTCACCTGAATAAATAACTACATGGAATCCATTTTAAATACAATATTTTGAAAGCTGCAGAGTCTAAATCTACACACCCAGTTCACAAGAGGACAAATACTGAGCTTATTTATCCAGGCAATTAATTACGTACAATGTGAACTGGTTTTTAGGAATGGTGACGTTTAAACTTCAGAAACCCACCAGAATTTCTCAGTTCATCTCGGAGTTGAACTGTTATAGTCCTAAAGTAAATAATTTAAAAAAAATAGTGACTCTTTTCTTTTAAAATTTCCTCTGAAACTAACAAAAAGAAAAGCTAACACAAAGACAACGCTAACATAGATGACTGTTTTAATTGTCCTGAATTACTTATTTCCTGGTCAACATAAATAGAAGCTGAGCTATTTCCTTTGCTGTGAAATGTTTCTTTTTCGTTTTTCTATTTAGTGGTTTTTTTTTTTTTTTTAAATACCTAAATGCAAACTGGTTAATGAAGAGAAACGTCTGAACTCCTTTTATGATGTTTATTTGTCATAAACAACACATTCTGAGCTGGAATTAACTTACCATCGTTTCAAGAGCATATTGGTTACAGCTTAGCAACACCCTTCTTGGGGTGCTGTCATGGCATAAAAAAGATGGACTGTGCAGTGGAATGATTTTTATTTTATCAATACAAGTGAGACTTTTCAAGGCCTTTATTCTTATAATTGCACGGCTTGATAGGGACTATTGAGTTCGTATCACAGCATTCAGTATCAATTCCAGAAACATCCGGAGCCTCACACACCTATTAGTATCTCAGAGCCAACTAGTCACAAACAGAGGAAGTGATACATGGCTTTTGTTAAGGTTCTCATGCGACAGGCAGAGGCAGTCAACGTTAGACCTGGTAAACGCATCTAGCGCTAGGTGTGATCTGGGGGCAGACGCGGCACAGCAAGAAGCACCGACTGCGCATGCTCCTATTCAGGCAGAGACAGAAAGGGAGTGGACGTACTGTAGAAGCTGGCCATTACGTAGTTTTGGCAGCGATCACCAGTAAACTCATTTGGGCACCTGAGAGAAGAAACAAAAAACAATGGTAGAAAAAAAAAACAGAGAAAAAGAGAAGAGGTGAATATACGCTAGAAAGAAGCTCCTTCAGTTTCATTTGACTGAACTTGGTGGTTCACACCCTCAGGGCACGGATCCCTCGGTCCTAATCGAGGCTTCCAAACTCTCGGCGCACACCCCCTCCCCGTGCACACCCTTCCAGATGAATGGCTGAGAACTTGGACTGGATGCAGGTCTTAGGTCTGCACGGCAGAAAGTCGCCCAGCATTTTAAGTGACTGCTTCATTTTCAAAGGGAGCCACTTAAAATCTGACCTTTTAGCCATCTCAGTTTTCCCATTTGACAGCTTGGGTCCCAGAGGTTGGAAGGAAATGGTTTTTTTTTTTTTGGTTGGTTTGCCTGCCACGAGTGCCACCATCACCAGCCAGCCTGACTGGTAATTCTCATAGGTTTAGGACACGTGGCGACACAGTCCAATAAGGTCACACTGAACGGTTTATTATGCCTGAGTGGTGAAGCCAGGATAAGAAGCGAGGAATCCGCTGTTCCCGGGCTGTAACCGCACCAAGCAGTAGTGACTGACGCTGCAGTGGGGGAGAAAGCAAGCTTCAGATTATTGTAACATACTTTCTTGGTTTTGGACTTTCATGGGCACATTCTCAGTACATCTTGCTCCAGTGAATCCAGGTTGGCACCTAGAGGGCAAAAATGTGATAAGCAAAAAAAAATGCTAAAGACACTGAACTTTTAGCCTGGCAACTTCCCTCCTATGGGATATGGAGATTCCTAAAAATGACCTGGTACTGAACAACGGTAAAGAAAAGAAAAAAAAAAAAAACATTTAGAAAATCATGGCCCATGAAAACTCTGGATTATAGACTTGTTGCTGTTGCTTGCTTCAGTCTTCAAATAATCAGTGAACTGAAATTTAACTGCAGTGAGGCTGAAATGCTGAATAAGGGTGGCGAGGCCTGGGCAGCGGCCACGTTCCCTTCGACAAGACCAGGTTTGCCACTGATCAATGGTTTTTTACAATGGTAAAACAGTGGTTTTGATAAGAGTTTACGTGTTCCAACCCTGTCTTTTGTGATTAAATGATCTTGCACTTTTCTTTGCATACCCCTGATTTTGTTCTTATTTCTTAGGTATTTTCTAAGGGCATGTTAAATCGTCCAGCAGTGGAAGTCACGGACTAACCAGAAAAACCACATCTCTGCTTTTTTCTTAAAAAAAAAAAGTTACAAATAAACTCTCATTTTTAAATGTTGAAAGGCAGATCGTGGAAGCAGATTTTTATCAGAACAAATTTCACTGACATGAGTTATCCCAAATTAATGGCTAAATTAATATGGTTCTATTCAGAATAGTTGCTCTATAGAAGTCCTTCATAGATGTCATTTTGCAGTTAAGGTAAAGCTATTTTGAAATTGTATAAAATTACATCAAATTTTAGAATGTTGGTGTAGTATCGTTCCTAAGGTTACCCAATGGGCCTGTGTTTAACCGTGGAAGTTATTTACATTAATAATTATTCTTTTTGTTGCTGTTACAATTGGATTAATTTTATCCAATATCATGCTGTAATAAATAGGGCCCCTGAAAGGTTCTAGGAAGAAAATATACTTACAGATAGAAAAACTTTTATTCGAATGCCCAATGCCCATAGTCATAATTAGTGACAGTTCATCTAACAATGACCATTATGCAAAGCACCTAATGTAATTTACCACTGACAGCACAGACCTAGAGATTTTCATAAAACCCTTTCTTCTCCAGAGTAAATGAGAATCAACACTATCTGTTTGACAGCTAAGAGATACGAATAAAACTATTCATTTTTACAAGTATAGGGGTGATGTCCTTTCCCTTCAAGCCAAATTACCAAGTGATTTGCTATACAGAGTTTTCCTATGAAAATGGCCTGCAAGATAAAACCGTTGCAGTTCCAGATTTTTTGCAGCCGAGTACTTATAAAAACTTACAGCACTGATGATATCAGTAAACTTAAACAAATATAGCTCTTTTTAACTTTTCAAAGTACTTTTATATAAATGAATTGATTTTTGTTTAGAAGACTTTTGTTGCGGGGAATAAAGGAAGATCTACCCGGAGAAATGTGTGAAGATGAGCCATAACCTATGAGGTTGGGGTCATTTCTCATCAACTACATGTTTGGATAAGAATTCCTCTGAAGATATATAAGAAAAAAATACACAGAAACTTTTTTCCATATAACTTATTGGACAAAATAATTTCTGAATAAATGAGGTTAGTATTTGTTTCTGAACCAGGACTATAAATTCCTATAAATTCATACAGACATACTCTATAACTAAAGCAGGTAATTCTCAGAATTAAGGACATATTTGATAATGATCATTTTTCATCTTACCTGTTCGCATTCTTGAAAACAATTAAAATTTTCATGTTGGGCACAGTAATGAGCTTGTTTCATACAAAGAACAAAGTGTAAGAGATGTGGATACTCTGTGTGTATGCAGAGGAGACTCACACACACACACACACCTGCAAGTCACCTGAGCCAAGAAATGCCCTTATTTAAAGATCACGAAATTAACAAATAGTTGAGGGATCAAGATGTCCTTAAGAGAAGGAAAAGCATTTATAAGGAAATGATCATTTAGGCATCTTATAACCAGTTGTAGAATCAGAGACCACAGGGCAACTAGGTAAAGGGAGTCAGGAATCTTACCCCATCAATTTTCTAATTATTATGAACTTCTAACATGAAGTTTCCTAGGAAGCTAGCCTTAGAGGATGACGGTTTATCTCCATCATAAGATCACACAGAAAATGTGGTGCATAGTACTAGGGCTATTTGAGGTATGCAAATTGTTGCTTTGGAATTCTCAGCTGTATTTCTTAACCAGAACAATCCTTTTGCTAATTTCTATCTTGACTTGAGAGATAAATGTCCTGCATGTTACTTCCCAGAGTTATAAGGTCTGATGAGCTCCTTAGGCACTGCGGTTAGTAGAAATACAGATTCTCAGGTCGTAGACTAGAGCTACTGGATAAGAATCTTCATTTTAACAGATAGCTAAGAGATGTGCACATATATCAAGTGATTTGCTATAGGGAGTTTTCCTACTTCATGAAAATGGCCTGCAAGATAAAACCGTTGTAGTTCCAGATATTTCAGGGTATAAAGGCCCCTGAGCTGGGCAGATGGAGGCTAAGGCCCTCTCTCCTGGTCCTGTAGATCAGACGTGGACAGGCCATTTGGCTTTCCTGGGACTCATTTTCCTCAGGGCTAAAATGAAGAGATTTAACCAAGCGATTGTCAAAGGTCTCTTTTACCACGAAGGCTCTGGGAATGAACGCTCACCTAACACATGGGCTCACCTTAGAAAACCCTGACATCACTTCTTCTGAATGTATTATCAGTCAGGGACAACAGAACTCAATGTCTTCTAAAAAGCATTTTTGATAAAAACAGATTTTTAAGCCCATCATAGAAATAAAACAAATTGCAAATAGTCAAGCAATTCAAGGGTTCATCTTTACAAACGTTTGATTTGTTGCCAAGATGAAGAAAAACACAGAAACCACCTAGGGAAGCTTCTCTCCCCGCATTGGTTGTGACAGAGGGACACAGATGCAGATGAAAGGCCATCCTATCTAGAAGCTCCAATGAAATTCTACAGAATTACTTCTAGCAGCATAGGGAGACTGGCTTCTGACATATTTCTGTTCCTAGCATTATACCATAAAGATCCTCCTATCCCTTTCCTGGACGAGAAGAATATGGTCAATTTAATCCAATTTTGAACAATATGCTTTGGGGTGAGTCTGAGCAAATTTCAAGGATTTTATTTCTCAGAAGAACCCAAGGACCTGAATAATAACCAAGCACCCACTGCAACTTCAAAATACATATACCTTTTGCTTCACTGATCAGATCAGAAGATGAAAGTCAGTGCTTTAAAATTTTACTATTTGCTCCTTTTTATTTTTGTCGAGATGGGCGTCTTGCTATGTTGCCCAGGCTGAACTTGAACTCCTTGGGCTCAAGTGATCTTTCCGCCTCAGCCTCTCAAATTGCTGGGATTATAGGAATGAGCCTTTGCACCCAGCTAGAACTTGCACTTAACATGACAAGGAACCCTTGTTCAATTTTTGTCTTACTGGGACACAAATCCACAGTTTCATGTGAGCCTAGGCTCAGCTCCCTCCTTCCTCGACCCCCCATGACCCACATCCACGCTCTGGGTGAGGACTCCTGACTTTGGCTCTGGAGTCACACCCTATCCTGACCTCTTTCATTGTACATACTTGTGTTGTGACAGCTGGAATGTGAGGACAGTGACCATATTTAGATAATGTTGTATCCCTAATACCTAGCACAGGGCCTGCCTCATAAAGACCTCTTGCAAAATGTCTGTGAAACTGAACTTGAGATCAGACCACACGTCTGATAAAGAATTGTATCAAAAAAGACTTTCAAACAATCAATTGATTTGTCAGGCCTGTTATTTTTATAGTTTATGACAGATTCTTCTCTGTGGACTCCCCAAATAATTTTTTATAGGAACTCTTCATTATCTTCTTCACAAATTCTCTCTATAAATAAAATACTTTAACACTGTAGTTGCAGTTCAGAAAAGACTATGATTCCTTGGCAATAAGAATCCCTTTAGCTCAAATTTAAATCATGTTACTGAAAAAATAGTTCTCTCAAGATTCAATAAAGCAGTACACTAAGCACAGCCAATAAAATAAAAACTATTGATAAATAATCTTACTACGTTGCCAATATCTTGATGTGCTTACAAGGTAATTAATCTGAGATGCATATATTTTGAGAATCACATTAGTGCTTGTTATACATATGTTATATATA